CCTAGGAATAAAACAACCCGATGGGAAAAAGATCTGTAGTTGGAAAACCATAAGACAGTGATGAAAGAAACTGAAGACAACACAAACAGATGTAAAGATATACCATGTTCATGAATTGGAAGAATTGATACTGTTAAAAATGACCATACTACCCAAGGCAATCTACAGACTCAATGCAATCCCTATCAAAATGCCAATGGCATGTTTCACAGAACTAGAACAAATAACTTTAAAATTTGTATGAAAACACAGAAGACCCTATATAGCCAAAATAATCTTGGGAAGGAAGAACAGAGCTAGAGGAATCATACTCCCTGACTTCAGACTATACTACAAAGCTACAGTAATCAAAAAAGTATGGTGCTGATACAAAAAGACATAAATCAGTGGAAAGACTAAAGAACCCAGAAATAAATCCATGCACTTATGCTCAATCAATCTACAACAATGAAGCCAAGAATATACAATGGAGAAAAGTCTCTTCAATAAGGCGTACTGGGAAAACTGGACAGCTACATGTAAAAGAATGAAATTAGGACATTCTCTAACACCATGCACAAAAATAAACTCAAAATGGATTAAAGTCCTAAATGTAAGACTGGGAACTATAAAACTCCTAGAGGAAAACACAGGCAGAACACTCTTTGACATAAATACTAGCAATATTTTTTTTTGGATCTGTCTCCTAAAGCAAAGGAAATAAAAGCAAAAATAACCAAATGAGACCTAATTACACTGCACAACAAAGGAAACCATTGATAAAATGAAGACAACCTACTGAATGGGAGAAAATATTTGCAAATGATATGACTGATAAGGATTTAATATCTAACTTATATAAATAAATAGCTCATACAACTCAACAACAACAGTTGCCTTAAAAAAAAAAAAAAGACCCCCAAACTGAAAAATAACAACCTGATAAAAAAATGGGCATAAGACCTAAATAGATATTTTTTTGAAGAGGACATGCAGATGGCCAACAGGAACATGAAAAGATGCTCAGCATCACTAAATCTGCTGGGAAATGCAAATCAAAACCACAATGAGATATGACCTCACACATGTTAGAATGGTTATCCTTAAAAAGAACACAAACAACAAATGTTGGTGAGGATGTGGAGAAGAGGAAACCCTTATATGTTATTGGTAGGAATGTAAACTAGGTGCAGCCAATGTGAAAAACAGTATGGAGATTTCTCAAAATACTAAAAATAGAACTACCATATGACCCAGCAATTCCACTCCTGGAAGTATTTCTGAAAAAAACCAAAAACACTAATTTGAAAAGATACATGCACCCCAACATTCATAGCAGCATTGTTTACAATTGCCAAGATATGGAAGTGACCTAAGAGTCCATCACAGATGAATGGATAAAGAATATGTGGTGTGTATACACACACACATGCATATATAGTGGAATACTATTCAGCCATAAAAGGGAATGAAATTTTGCCATTTGAAACAACATGGATGGGTCTGGAGGGTATCATGCTTAGTGAAATAAGTCCAAAAGAGAAAGACAAATACTGTATGATATCACTTTTATGTGGAATCTGAAAAAACACAACAAACTACTGAATATAACAAAAAGAAACATATGACTCACAGATATAGAGAACAAACCAGGGGCTACCAGTGGGGAGAAGGATAAGGGGAGGGGCAATATAGGGATAGGGGACTAACAGGTACAAACTATTATGTATAAAATAAGCTACAAGGATATACTGTACAACACAGGGTATGTAACCAATATTTTATAATAATAAATGGAGTATAACCTTTAAAAATTCTGAAACACTGTATTTTACACCTGTTACATAATATTGTACATCAACTATATTTTGATGAAATTTAAAAAAAATGTAAGCTGTGGAAATGGAAATAAAGTCTACATTTTAAGTTATAAACAGGGCCTCAAGTTGCTTTGAACAATAGGGCTCCATAGAAGGTTTTAAAGCTTGTAGTATTAATGTATATGGATAGTAGATGAAAACCTTCAGTTTCTTCCACCTGTTTCAATTTCTGATATGCAGATCAGAGGTGTTGGTCTTATCAGTGATACTCTATCACAGGCCTACAGAACATTCCCTTGCTTACAAATGTGCTTGACAAATGATTTAGGGATTGGGTACATTTAAGCACATGTGGTTATAAAATAAATGTATTCCACAATAATAATCACAGCCATTGCCACAGAACCATCCCTCTACCCTAATACCCCACAAGTTTGAAGATGGGGCATGCTGGGAACTTGACTCTCCATCTGGCAACTCAGTTTTAATCTGAAGCATTTTCTAAACTCGGGGATTTCTTTCCTGCAGTCTTCTTCCCTCTTTCCTCTGACCAGGGAGAATTTTTCCAAGGTTATTGATCACAGGCCTACCCTTCTAAGTAGGGCCACTGAGTAATGCACAACTCCAGGAGCCTCTCTCCACAAACTAAGGTCCGAATGGCACTCCCTAGGCAATGAGCCCACTGCTCCAAGAACATCATCCTTAAGTCCCAAATTGTGTCCAATAGTGCTGTGTTGTGATATTACCAGAAAGTACCACTTTAAGGCAGCAATTCTTAGAGTGTTATGACAATTGGAAAATGTATTACAAGTAATTTTCACTAATACAGACATTCTGACTGACTTTTTAGTTATGAGAACAGGTTCAAGATTACATTTCCAATAATGTTACTATTCTCATTCACACTGCAAAGGCTTTTTGAAGAGCCATTTAGCCAGTATACCAGGAGTGAAACATGGGATACGGCTACATATTTAACATGCTTATCTTGGCAAGGGAAAAAACATGAAAACTTTTGGTCTAATATATGCTAATATATATATGATGAATATATATGTGAACATATATATATATGTCTAATATATATGTGATAAAAAATGACAAAAGCCTGAGGCTAAGTCCCCAATTTAATTAATCTGAGAAAAGCCTTACAGCATTTAGCCTAATAAACAGGCAGCTATCGGAATTAAAAGCTCCAAGTTTTAAAATGTCTTTGCCATCAACTAGCTCATTTAGCTTCAGTTTCCTCATTTGTAGGTAGAGGACTACTGCCAGCCTCAGTGCTAGGGCTGGAATAATAAAGGCTTTATAGGACCAACTGATGAGCAAGCCTTTGCATATGTCAATACCTACAGTGCCAATGGTAATTCTGAAGAACCTGGAAATTGAGCTTCTTCATAAGATAAAACAGAATAAGAACAGGAATAATAACGTCTGCCATTTGAGATCACCTATATACCAAGCAGTAGGCTTTTACATTAAGTCTTCCCAATTCTATGTGGCATAAATGAGGACTACCACTTTACATATGAGGAACCAACCAGAGGTCAGAGAGGTTAACCCCTCCACAGTGATGTGGTTTAGGAGTACAACTGCCTGACTGATATCCAGGCTCTTCCCCCACAGACGCTCTGGTTCTGTGATCTGTAAAGACATGGCACCTCTACAACCTCTACTCATGTACCAAATTTCACTAAAAATGACTTTAAAAGCCTATAATACATACTTCTTGCAATGGTGACCATGATATTTAGAATGCTATAGCAGATTATTACCAATGTTTACTGACAGCCAGCACTCATCTATTTCTTGATACAGGGGGGTTATATTTCTCTACCCTCTTGAAGTTAGGTAACCACGAGACTAATTCTGGCTAACAAAATATGAGGAAAAGAAATGTATGTCACTTCCAGGGTGAAGCATGTAATTGCAGGTGTTCATTTCTCCAGGCCTCTCTTCCTTTTCCATAGCAATCATGGGAACCTGTGTGGCTGTGGTGGTGCCTCAAGATCAAGGCAACCTGATATATGAAGCCGGCCTGTGGGGAAAGCTTCCTAGAGAGTTGTGTAAACTCATAGTGGATTTTAGGAAAGAAACAAACCTCTTTTATTTTAAGCCACACAGTTGGAGATTGTTTTTTACTGTGGTATAACCTAGCCTATCCTGACTGACATAGCTGATGAAGAGAATTACAAAACAGACATAAGGCATGCTCTGGTCCCCTTCCATATTACATTAAATGTGATTGAAACATGGCTGAGTAAAAACTCAAGGGCTGGTTGTGGTATACATGCACACATATACACACAATGGAATACTACTCAGCCATAAAAAAGAATAAAAATAATGCCATGTGCAGCAATGTGGATGGACCTAGAGATTATCATACTAAGCAAAGTAAGTCAGACAGAGAAAGACAAATATCATTTGATATCACTTACATGGGGAATCTTAAAAAAATGACACAAATTAGCTTATTTACAAAACAGAAACAGACTCACAGACATAGAAAACTTATGGTTATCAAAGGGGAAAGGGGGGAGGGATTAATTAGGAGTTTGAGATCAACATATACAAACTATTATATACAAGATAAACAAGGTCCTACTGTATAGCACAGGGAACTATATTCAATATCTTGTAATAATCCATAATGAAAAAGAATATATATGTATAACAGAATCACTATGCTGTATACCAGAAACTAACACATTGTAAATCAATTATGTTTCAATAAAAAATAAACTCAAGGGCTGGACAAAGAAGAGGAACCTTGTGCAGTTAAGCTTAAAAAGGTTTTAGAACCACCTGGTACAACCAAAGCACCACTCTTCCCACCTTCAGGGAGCTCAGCACAACTAATCCCATTACATGGCACAGCTTCCTGGATAATCAGAACATTTTGATATTTTCAATGAAATAGTATGGGAGCTCTGATTAGTATGGTTAAGTAAAGAGTCAGTTTTTTGGGGTGGATGGCTTTTCTATGTCTACTTGATAAAGTTCAATTAAGCAGGACTGGCTTAATTTTGAGAGCAGATGCTGGTACTTTTCAATTTTGATTAGGCCTGTTGATAGCCATGTAAATCCTGAGATGTTTGAACATACCATGTTATTTAATATTCAGTTGCACTAGGAAGGCTAAGATGAATTTTAAAAATCTCAGCTTCTCATTTTCTAAGTTCTTAGTACCATTATTTAGGTAAAGGTCAGACAAGCATCTTTACTTTCTCCTAAACTCTCACTGTAACACATGCATAAAGTCTAGAATCTATAGTAAAGTCAATTGATTTAGGAATAGAAAGTGAACATGTAACTTTCTGAGAAATACAATCCCTTAAGTACTCATTAAAATGGCCAATTTTTATTACAATGATTAACAACAGGACACAATTCAAAAGCAAATGCTTTCTGTAAATGTGAAGTAAACTGAGAAAGAGATGACCCTGGAGTGTCTTAGGGCCAAGGCCTACTCTGCAGCTGAGACCCAGTCCAATAAGAACAATTTAACATGCTGCTTTTTTGTTGTTGTTAATTTATTTATTTATAATTTTTTTGGCAGGAGGGAGGTAATTAGGTTTATTTATGTATTTATTTTTAGAGGAGGTACTGGGGACTGAACCCAGGACCTTGTGCATGCTCAGCATGCGCTCTACCACTTGAGCTATACCCCCCCCAACATGCTTCTTGATTTAATGTGCTAACAGGTCAGGTTCTCAGAGGCAGTTCTAAAATGATTTCAGTCAGGCTTTATTTTTAGTAACTGTACTACCTTTGTAGGCCTCTTTCTAAAAGCTTTATATTTTATTGCATTAAACTTTATCACAGCTACCAACCAAATCACTATTATTTTCATATTTTACCTAATGATCCTGCTTCACTGGCACACAAAGGTGAACGGATGCAAATATACACACACACACAAACACAGGACCTGCTGCTCCCATTTTATGATGCCTTTTTAAAGGCCTGGCTTATAAGGTTGTCACAGGGGAATGAGGACAGCTGATGGCTCCATTACACAAAGTACTTCTGTGTATACATTTATTTTTACACTGTATAGGAAGTTACAACTTCTAAAAAACAGTATTTAAATGAACATAGGTATAAGCTACCCAGAACAAAAGAATTAACATGTACTTATTGAAAAGAATCAGAATGCTAAATAAAAGAG